CGACTCCCATCGACCCCACCAAGATGGGAGAGGGTCGGGCGATCGCTGTGCTGACTTCGGGAGGCGATGCCCAGGGTAAGTGGAGGGTTTCCAGGGTGGGCTGCAAGTGTACAGCACTACAGCATGTGTTTGTTTGCCTCAGCAGGTGGTGGAGAGGATCTGGTGAGTGGGAAGTCAGGGCTTAGGTAGTATTTGAGTTGTAAAATGAGTCAGAGGCCTATAAATCAAGAATCCAACTTTTGATGCCTCTAAACAGTGGTGGAAAGTAACTAAGTTCAAGTAGTTAAGTCAAGTAACTCAAGTTAGTTACACACTTACTTGCCACTTTACTTGAGAATTTTCATTTTCTGCTACTTCATGTTTCAACTTCATTACATTTCAGAGGCAAATATTGTACTGTTTACTGCATTATTGCACAGTTACATGATTTGATATTTTTAGTTATAAGTTACTTTTCAAAACCAAATGAATAAAACAAAATACAATATAAACATATGATTTTATTAATCCCTTGTGGGAAATTTATGAGATACCAATCAGTATTTCAAATTATATTCATATTAAAATTAGCTTCACCTTTACCACCTGTAACATGAAAGTGATGAATGCTTCAGTAAGGATAGTCCAATAATATGATATGCATTAAAAGTAAATGTGTCATTCTATATAATAAATACTCTCACTTTTTTTAATGCAAGATATTTACTCTACACTGCGGTACTGTAACTTTTACTTAAGTAAATAGTCTGAGTACTTCCTTCACTACTGGTCTTGTATAGTCTTTGGCTGTCTTGAAAAGTATTGTAGCCTACATAGATCTCCATCATTTGCCTCTGACCTTATTATTATCATTATTTTTAATTTATTGTTTACTCAGTTCTACTGTACTGTACTGCCACATTCAGTCATGGTTGTAATCTGACTACTCATAATTACTTCATTAGTGAATGTAATACTGCAGTGATTTCTCAAATGCAACAGGGCTATCTTAGCTATTTATAAGGGCAACAGGAATTTCTTCATCTAAAGTTGTTAGGTCTACAGAGTGAGACACACTCTCCTCTGACCTTTAACTTGATGAGGAATATCTCCAGTGTGTGACCTTTGGGAACTGTGTCAGTGACCCCACACATCCCTGTACTGTGACACCGTGAGCTATCCATTTGCCTGTTTTTATGTCTGAACTTTACAAGACATTAGGAGGTGTGTAAATGCAAGACTGCAGAACTGTCTATTTCTGACCCTTCTGCTTTGTCACTCATAATCTTCATAAATAATCCTCATTACAGCCTTTTTATTTCTCATCATATCCTTTAGTTCAAGCTCCTCTCCATGCTTCTTTTTCTTTAACACAGTACGTATAATGAGGACTAATTTTAGCGGCATGACCTTTCTGTCATGTGTTTGTAAAGTGGTGAGGTTGCATGAGAGGGCCGTCCTACTCTCCCTTTCTTGCCTCTTCTCTTTTACGCTGTAAGTGGAGATACCTTTGGGACCCTCAAAGTTAATCTATCCACATCTTGTCCCTTAAGCAACCCCTCCAAATGTTGCAGGCAGACAGTTGTCTTTCCAGCTAAACAAGCTTGCTGCTATCACAAACAATTGTTTCCAACTACAAAATTACAGTCAGATAAAATAGCACTGTCATATTGCACTACAGTTTGGCATTTAGCTGCTGCAGCAACAAGTTAATTAAAGACTAAAAAAAGAAATGCCAGTATTATTTAACATATAAGTTGTACAAGATCCAAGCGCATGTCATTAAGCAAAAGACTGAAGGACTATCAAAATATCCCATTCAACTTAACATGTTTTACTAAAGATAAAATACCCCAAATCCACCCAAGTAAATGGGGCCCATTTAATATCATTTTATATATTATCTTAATATACATTTCTAAATACCGTATACATAAAATATAAATTTTAAAACAAACAAAAAACTAAACTTGCCACAGTTTTGTGAACATACTGAATAAGAACTATTAAATTGCAATAACCTACCATTTCCCCATTATTTGTTTCAGTCATTCTTACTGTATGAATGAGGGCTATTCTCATATAGTTATAATGGCTAATGGGAACACACTGTGCCTGCAGGTATGAATGCAGCTGTGAGGGCCATAGTTCGAGTAGGAATCTACACTGGAGCCAAGGTGTATTTTGTCCATGAGGTAAAAACTGCTTTTTTGAATATGATGTTATTAATCTTTTAATCAGTAAAATATCAAAACAAGTTGCTAATTAAAAATGTCTTTATCAAGTGTCTAAATTGCCATTTTCAAATGGGTCCTTTTCAAAATTCCAGTATTATAAAGCACAATGTATTTAATGTACAGTGGTACACCACAAGAAGCCTTGTTGGACTGAAATAGATGTGCATGCCACAGTAAAAATATACCAGTATCATTAAGCCTTAAGCCAGTTTCCCAGAAGTGAGCCCTTTTCTTGTGCTCTGTGTTTGTTTGTTAACAGGGTTACCAGGGTCTAGTGGACGGCGGAGAACACATCTGCCCTGCTACCTGGGACAGTGTGTCAATGATGCTGCAGCTGGTGAGAGCAAGCAAAATTATGCTAATGTGTATTTTTTGTATGTTGACGCTCCTTGCTGTTTTTAACTTGTGACCAACAGTCCAGCCTTTTTGTGAGTGTGATGGATGATCTGTGTAACTCTAGGAACTCTTTAGTCTCACAGTGCAGTTCTGTAGGTCAAATGGTGCTTTAAATGCCAAGGTTCATTAAATAGCAAGACTTAATGGATCTTAGACATGAGTGCTTAGGTTTCAAATTATCCTTCCCCTTCTGCTTTATCTGCATCCCTGTGATCTTGTTTGGGACTGAAACCCTTCCTTGTCTGACATCAGGGTGGGACTGTGATTGGCAGTGCCCGCTGTAAGGATTTCCGTACCAAGGAAGGACGCACCAAGGCTGCCTATAACTTAGTCAAGCTGGGCATCACCAACCTGTGTGTGATTGGAGGTGATGGTAGTCTGACAGGTGCCAACCAGTTCAGAACAGAGTGGAGCGAAATGCTTGCAGACCTGGTCAAAGCTGGTAAGAGGCCTGGCTTCAGAATACACTGTTCTAAGCAATGCAACATATGAAACAAGTCTTGATCAACACTAGGTACGATTAGCATGCTTATTTACACATGATGCTAAGACTGACGATAAAATTGTATCCGAGAGAACTGTAATTTTAATCTCTCTCAGGTAAGATCACAGCCAATGAGGCCAAGGGTTCCTCTCACCTCAATATTGTTGGCATGGTGGGTTCTATTGACAACGACTTCTGTGGCACTGACATGACCATCGGCACAGACTCTGCCCTGCATCGCATCATGGAGATAGTGGATGCCATCACCACCACAGCACAGAGGTAGGCATTTGCTGTTGGCATTTACAGTATATGATGGCTAGGCCTGTCTTGTGATTTTAAAATTGACTTAAAATGTGTTGTTCTGCAGTCACCAGAGGACTTTCATCCTGGAGGTGATGGGCAGGCATTGTGGGTGAGTAATGCCTGTGAGTGTGGTATGGGGGTACAGTAGTCTCACAACTATATTTGTCAATAAAATGTCCCCCTTAACATTAAACTCTCAAGAAAAAATATCTAAAAGTCTACAACCATACTAGAAGCTTTGTGAGGCTGTAGGGACCGTAGCACTTTGAGCTAAATGCTAACATCAACAGATTAACAGTGACAATGCAAGTATAGTGGTGTTTAGCAGGTAGTTTACAATATCTTAGCATGCTAACATTTGCTAACTAGCACTTACCATTAGCTAAGGCTGATTGAACTATCATCAATTTTGCAAGTTTTTGTTTTGATATCATAAATCTGTCTTTTACAGTTCACATAGGTGGAGGGTTGGGGGGATGAGCTAGGCATTTCCTAAAAAATAAAATACGATTGTGATGTTTGTGATATCCACCTCTAATTTGATGCATATACAGTAAGATGCAATTTGTTTAATAAAATGTTTGTCTTGTTGTCTAAATGCCACCCCAGATGCTTTTCTATCCTGCTGAGCAGTTTAGAAAATATGTCAAATTTAATATATGTTGCATCAGTTTCCAGTAATCACTCATTGTCTGCTTTGTGGTGGATACTTTAATCTTGTCTAATGACCCTTTTCCTCCAGATACCTGGCTTTGGTGACAGCTCTGGCCTGTGGCGCTGATTGGGTGTTCATCCCAGAGATGCCCCCAGATGACGAATGGGAGGAGCATCTTTGCAGAAGACTGAAAGAAGTAAATGTCTTGTCCTGCATGATCTTTATCAATCATGACTCATTTGGATCTTGCTTTAAAAAAATAATGTCTGCTCTCTATCTTTCTTAGCAAAGAGGCCGTGGCACCCGTTTGAATATTATCATTGTTGCAGAGGGAGCAATGGACCGCAGTGGTAAACCTATCACCTGTGACGATGTCAAACAGGTCAGTAATGACAGCATGCCAACATACCAGCTCAGAGAAAAGGCTCTAGTCACATTAAGCAGACTACTCATGAAGTATCTGTTACTTTAGCTTATATCAAAGAGGCTGGGGTTTGACACTCGTACCACCGTCTTGGGTCATGTGCAAAGAGGTGGAACACCCTCCGCCTTTGACAGGATCCTGGTAATATCTCATTTTCCTCATATATAAACATTTTAAATATTCATCATTTGATTTTATCTTTGTTAAACAATGTGAATAGACACAAGTTTGTCAGCTTCTGCACCTACCTGTCTGCTCTCTCATATCCTGTTTTGATTTAGGCGAGCAGAATGGGTGTGGAGGCTGTGATGGCTCTGCTGGAGGCCACACCAGACACTCCTGCATGTGTGGTCAGTTTGTCTGGAAATATGGCTGTTAGGCTGCCTCTCATGGAGTGTGTGCAAGTGGTGAGTGAAATATTTCTCATACAGTATTAGTTTATACACAGTAAATAACCAACTACAGTGTATGTTCAAAATTTTGCATACTGATCTGATTCAATTCTGTTTGCTTTGTGTGTCTTCATCTTCTTTCATATCAGACCAAAGATGTCACCACGGCCATGGCTGAAGGGAGGTTTGACGAAGCAATAAAGCTCAGGGGAAAGTGAGGCATGCACTTTTGTCTTATCCATTTGAAACTCTCAGGTGTTGCGTTGTGTTTTAAATATTGTGCTAATATTTGCCAACAGGAGCTTTGAGAACAACTGGAGCACTTACAGAATGTTGGCTCATCTGCGCCCCCCAGATACAAAGGTGAGTCACTACAGTACTGTATATTGTACTGTTCATAAACTGTCTCACAGCTGCTAAGTTGAAGTGGAAAATACATTTGTTCTGACAAAATGCCTCTGTGAATTGGTTCCTGCCAGAGTAACATCAACATTGCTGTACTGAACGTGGGAGCTCCCTGTGCTGGGATGAACGCTGCAGTCCGTGCCACCGTCAGGATGGGGCTCCTCCAGGGCCACCAGATGCTGGCAGTGCACGACGGCTTTGATGGCTTGGCTCATGGAATGGTAAAGTGTAGTTACACACATAAACAAGGCTCTAGACATCTTTACCATGAAAAAGCATTACCTATAGGAACATATGAAAGAGCATGTAAATGTATATGCTCTGTCCCTGAACAGATTGAACCTATTGGTTGGTCTGGAGTGGCAGGATGGACTGGAAAGGGGGGCTCCAATCTGGGAACTAAGAGGTGAGACATAAAAATACCACTCTGTTGATCAGTATGTGTTGCAATATTTTTAAATGCACATTGACTTGTGTTGGATAAATACTAGCAGTGTTGCTTTTAACTCAACACTGAGAAGGTGAATACATACCATCTATGTCTTCCATTTTATGAAGATCCCTGCCCAGTGAGTTCATGGAGGAGATCAGCCAAAACATCTCTAAGTTCAACATTCATGGTCTAGTCATTATTGGAGGCTTTGAGGTGAGTAGGTGAAATCTAGAGGTTTGGTGGGTGTGTTGCTCTATGGCCTCACATACACACACACACACACACACACACACACACACTGAAAATCATTCATTGCCCTTTTCACCCTTCCTATCTTTGCCAGGCATTTGTTGGAGGTCTGGAGATTGTGCAGGCTAGAGAGAAGTATGAGGAAATGTGTATCCCCCTTGTTGTTATTCCTGCTACTGTGTCCAACAATGTTCCTGGTTCTGACTTCAGTATTGGCGCTGACACTGCCCTCAACACCATAACAATGGTATAACTCTTTAATCCTTATAGTACACAAAAGCAAACAGTTAAACCCTGGATAACCCAAAAACATTCTACTTACTATATTCTTCTTCTTTCTCATTTGTTTTTTTCTTTTTTTTTCTTTGTCTCCTTGTCAGACATGTGACAGGATCAAACAATCTGCCGCTGGCACCAAGAGGAGAGTATTTATTGTTGAGACTATGGGAGGATTCTGTGGCTACCTGGCAACCATGGCTGGTTTGGCAGCTGGAGCTGATGTTGCTTACATCTTTGAGGAGCCTTTCAACATTCATGACCTAGAGGTGGGTCCTTCTGCATGTGCAGAGAGGGATTCTCATCTCAGTGGGCTGAACCGTTTGTCTTTGTTTTTGTTTGTTTTGCTTGTAGTTGAATGTGGAACATCTGGTGGAGAAGATGAAGACCACGGTGAAGAGAGGACTCATTCTGAGGTGGGTGGGAATTCTCAATATTGATGTTTCTTTCTGTTATTTTATATTCCCAGTTGGATAGGAAACAAGGGTGTTAATTGATAAACCAACTGATTTCTTGTGCCACAGACAGAACATTTTTTAATCCAGGTGGTTTTAAGAGTCTTTAAGGATTCTGGTAATATCTTTAGAACAGCTGTAGTTTGGTTAATGACCTTCTGCGCTTTTCAAACAGTACTGGGTCTTTTAGAGAACTGATGTATTTCACTGTGACTCCAATGTAATATTAATACATGAGCCACAAGCTGGGTTTAAACTCATTCAACATTCTGCTAACTTTTTTCAGAAATGAGAAATGCAATGCAAACTACACCACAGACTTTGTTTTCAACCTATACTCGGAGGAGGGCAAGGGTGTGTTTGACTGCAGGAAGAATGTACTTGGACATATGCAGCAGGTGTGACACTATGCAGGTGTTAAATTTGCTGTGCACAGACACATTATTTTTGCCACCCAATTAAATTTTCTAAACATAAGAAAACTTGTTTTTCGTTATTAGGGTGGAACCCCCAGTCCTTTTGATAGGAATTTTGCCACAAAAATGGGGATCAAATCTATCCTTTGGCTGACTGACAAGCTGAAGGAATGCTACAGACATGGTAAAGGCATGATCTCATTAAACTCTCAAAATGTTGTATAGACTTCTGGTGTGCTGTCATCCTGTGCTCCCTGGACTGATGTATATTCTGTTTTTAACCACAAACCTTCAGGTCGCATCTTTGCCAACTCTCAGGATTCAGCCTGTGTGCTAGGCATGAAGAGGAGATCTTTGGTCCTCCAGCCTCTGGCAGAGCTTAAAGAATTCACTGACTTTGAGTAAGACTTCATTTCTGTCTTTTCACTTTATTTTGTCCATCTGCACTGTTTGTATTGTTCAAATTCTGTGGTCACATTAAAGCTTTGAGAATTTTTTAACCTCAACTTTTAAACTTAATGACCCTCAGCCTTAAAGGATACCAGCACCCCACTATGCAGTTGTTACTTTCAGTTCATTATTTGGGTTTCCCAAACTGATACAAACTCAAACCACATTTTATTATGATTGCATGCGAAATTATGAAGAAGTCAGTAAAATCAGTAGATCTAAAATTTTGGAAGGCCCCAGGTATTGTTTGCATGAGTTAGTAAGCCGAATCAGAGTTAGAATTAGAATTACTACTTTGCTGTTGTATGCCTCCACCAAAATCTAATAAAGTCATCTTTGAGTCCAAATGGTCACTTGTGCCAAATTTGAAGAAATTCCCTCAAGGCGCTCCTGACATATTGTGTTCACAAGAATGGGACAAACACCAAGTCACAGTGACCTTGACCTTTTACCACCAAAATGTAATCAGCTCATTATTGAGTGGACACTTGAGCCAAATTTGAAGAAGATATCATGTTCATAAGAATGGGCCAGACAACCCAAAAAATTATGTTGTAGTGGCTCTCGCCAGTGCAGAGGTATAACAACAGTAAATATTATACTTAAATTTGACAGGTAAAAGATTCCATTGATATGTGTTACCTAAAATAATTTACAGAAATTACTACATAGTCCGTGAGAATTTTGTTTTTCCTTATACCGATGTGTTTTTTCTTATTGTACTGTATTTTATTTTATTTATTTTTTTGCAGACATCGTATTCCAAAGGTTCAGTGGTGGTTAAGGCTGAGGCCCATCCTGAAAATCATGGCCAAGTACAAGATCCACCTGGACACCTCTGAAAAGGCTGCAATGGAACATGTCATCAAGAAGAGAGGCTTAGTTCATCAGTAGTCTTTCTATGTAATTATTCATACCATCAGGATATATAAATAATATAAATAAAGACAATAATTATATCACCAAAACTGTCTCACAATAAACACTTAAAGCCACAAAGGTATTTGCTTTTGCTATTTTACAACTATCCCAGAAGCTCTTCTCCCTTTGCAGTTGTATGCACACCACTTAAAAACCTTGGTTTTAGTTATCATGTGCAACCCAACTCCTGTGTATTCTTAATCTTAACTTTTTACCATTACAAGACAAAATGAGCTACAATAAAGCTTCACCATATTAAAGTTATTTGAACTGTTACAATATTTTCCTTAATTAGTGTCTCAACAATAAGTTGCCAGTTAAAAAAAAAAAAGAGTTCACATCACGCAGTGTTTCCCACAGTGTTAGATGTTGCGTGTTCAGCTTTGTACAGCTTTGTCCACTAACACCCTTTGCCCCGGAAGGAACGACCTCACAAAACTCCTCTTGAATTTTCTGAGTAAGAATAAATCTTTACAAATCAACTATTATAAAATACAAAATAATAATTGCATCCATCTCTGGAAGCAACTACAGCCTTGAATCTATGTGGTTACATTGGTATTAGACTAGTTGTGCACACTTTTGGTCAAAAATTTTCCAGTTCTTTTTTTGTTCAAGCTCAGTCACATTCCATGGCAATTGCAAGTGAACAACAATTTTCAAATCTTGACACAAAGTTTTGATTGTACTGATGGCTGCACTTTGACTTGGTCACATCAGAACATTAACATTGTGGTTTTAGAGCCATTTAATTTAATAGTTTATTTAACAGGAGCAATGTACATTAATAAACATGACTGTAAAATTCACCAAAATTAGTCAAAAGGCAATTTTTTTTCAGTATGCCTGGACAGATGTCCAGTTGCGCCTAAAAATAAAACATGAAAATATAAATACAGGTTTACAGAATATTTAAAGATATAAATTAACATGGGGAAGATAAAGAAAAAGAATCAACATTAGTAGAGTTTCTGTGTAGCTTTAATTTCAACCTAGCACTCGGGCTATTTTAGAGTAAATTGTTTACAGGAATGGCTGCCTCATTATATAATCAGAAAGTCAACCTGATTTCAGAGACGTGACGTTTATACAAAAAAGAAAGACATTAGCCTTGGGTCCTTGCATTTCCGGATAAAACCGGATGTGCTCAGGTATTGGTTAGTTACATGTTTCAAAAACAGTGCGCGGCGGTTACGTTTCCGTGATAGCTGAGTATTTGAATCTATAAACGTAAGCTACGCGACGTTAGCCGCAAATGTACCGCAGTTCAAATGTATATCGGTAGGGACATCGATTTTAATATTTCCCTGCTGTAACTAAAAGTTGTGCGACAAGAGTCTGTCGCTTCGTCACCGTGTAAGCTCTCTGTTAATGTAACCAATGTTAACGTTAGTTGAACAGCGTCATATTATTGTCTAACAACTAACAGCTAAGATAACGCTATTTCTTTAAGTAAAATTGAAGCAGCTAGCTAACCCTTAACTAACGTGTCCTCTGCAGTTGTCGACATGAAGTGCTTGAAAGTGGACGAGTACATCAAGCGGACGGCTTCTGTGAAAGAGACTGAGCTTTTACTTCAAGAACTAGAGGTTAGAATAATGTTAATCACACAACTTTAATAAGATGACCGCTCGCATTCCTAGTTACGTACCGATTAGGCTAATTGCCATTTTGCTAGTCTAAAAGAACCTAATTAACGAGCTGATTTTTAACCCAGTATTATGTTTTGTGGATAACATTTAAAAAGGCGTTACAGTTAACTATAGATTAAAATGCTAACTACAGTAAATGAATGTATGATTCTCGTGTTGAAAAGAGGATCTAACGTTAAACCTGTCTGGTTTACATTTGCCAGAGTTATGTGAAGAGTCGACCAGGCCTTGAGGGTCGCACGCTGTGTGACAGGGTCATTAGAGCCTGTAACCATCAACTTGGAGCTGGATCGCCTGAATCTGACCATGTCAGTCAGCTGGTAAAGCTGATGGAGGTTTCGCTTCATGGCTATGATATTTGTACTGCACTTGTCCCCCAGAGTAGCCCTCTGTACATGGAAAAAATCATAGTCCACATCGTCAAAAAACTGAGCTCCCTAGAAGCTCACAGTTTATGCAGCCATGTAGCTGGTTTACTCTACAGCAGGCTTACCCCAGCACAACAGGTATGTATCACTTCAAACAGAGACAGCCATGTATATGTTTTGTGTGCAGTATGTCTCGCATAGACACAGTGACTGTTAATGCTGACAGTAATGAATCAATGTTTGTATGGACTGTAGGCTGAGGACTACTGTGTTCTTTTACGGAGCTGCTTCTCAATACTATGGAGTGGACTAGCTGCCACCAAAGACAGAAAAATACTGGCTCCTCAGGACAAGCTCCGCTACCAGATGCAAGCTTTGAATTTCCTCCTGTTGTTGAACACAGAAGTTGCAGGTTCCGCCTCCTCTAAAGCTCCCATATACACAGAGGATGCCATCACTGAATATGAGAGTGGTTGTGGAGCAGTGACCAAGGAGGATGCCTCCTTTCTCCTCCAGGAAGTGCGCACACTTTTCAGCAGATGCTGGACTAGCAGTCAAGGCTGTGAGGGGGACAGGTTCAAGCAGTATACGGAGACATCAGGTTTTTATGTGCTTTCTGAAATGGTGCTAGTTATAGTTAAGGTGCTTTGTAAGGCTGGACACTACGATCTGGCCTCCGCCTTCTTGAATGAAATTGAGAGCAAAGTGAGAAACTCTCCTGACTGTCCGTGCACACCTCTGTTGTTTGGCAAGTGGGTGGTAAAAATTCATTCAACAATGAAGGCTGGCAAAGAGAATGGTCAGGCTTTGACAGTGTGTGCCAGAGCCTTGAAGTCTCTCTCAGAGGACCTTGGGGACAGAGAAGCTCATGCAATTCTGGAGGGGTGCGGGCTCATGTTGTGGGCTGTCGAAAGCGGACACACGAAGGGATTAAGTGGACCTGTTCTCCTGGCCTTATATTCTTTTCTTGAGGAGCATCAAAAGCGGATTTTAGATGTGCTAAAGAAGGTGAGTAGAAGTTACTGACCAGGCGAAAAAGTTTCTCTTTGTGTGTTATGAAAAAATTGTATGGAATTCTGTAAAATTAGAGCTCTACATAGTGGAGTGCAGTTGTGTTTTCAGATGTCCTCATACATTTATTCAGTTTTTTGATAACTTTTAGGGATTTCTAATGTATGGTTTGTTTTATTTACAGAATTCCACATGCCAGGCTGAAGGTAGCAGACTGCAATTGGCCCTTTGTTTGAGCTTTTACCAAGGCTTTATGTTTGCTCATGAGAGTATGCTTTCATCACAGGTGAAGATCTGCAACATCCAATTTTATGAAAATGAAAAAAAAAAAATTCCTGGATCATCAGACACTTGCAACATTTTGTAACAGTTATAAATGTAGTCTAGATTACACTCAGGTTCTGATTGTGATTTGTTGTTCTTAGCTGGAAAACAGTGATACACTGGACAGAGTGCTGCTGTACTGCCAAGCCACAGTTGGACAGATGATGACTGAACTGCGCAAGCTATCCAGTGAAAACCTTCTTGTCAAAGCAGGTGACTTACATTCTACTTTATTAGTGTGTTCAGGTCACTGAGCATTTCTGAAATGCTTCCTTTAATTGCCAGGAACACTTAATGTATAGACAATGTGTTATATTATTGTGACATTTTTTCATTCTGTGCTCACCACGTATCTTGTAGTGATGGCTGTGAGCAACATAGCTTGTAGATTATACAACCAGCGTCTCTATGAGCAGGCCTTCACGCTAGTTGAGATTCTCTGCAGAAATCTAAGCAAGAATTGCCCCGTCTCCCTCTCTGTTGATAGGGTAAGGCCCTCTTAAATATTTTCTGTTATTGTCCGTTCCATTTCAGTCTTTATCATATCCACACCCAGAATAACACACACTCTCATGTTTACAATCATTTGTACTATTTTCTTGGCCTACATCATTTGTATTTTGTAATGAGTTATACTTTATCATCACCTAGTTGAGTCGACCCTTCATGCTGGCCGTGCAGACTTCACGGCGGGCCGGACAAATGGAGCGAGCTCTGGACTGGGTGATCCTGTGGCTGAAAGCTCTTGGGGACCAAATCCTTACTCATATGGCAGAACCAGTCAGCCTGTGGGTGAAAACAAAGACTGATGCCGCGCGTAACTCTGATGAGGACATCCGACTAAGGTACAGACAAATGCTAATGAGGTGACTTATGATTAAGATGGATTCTTTATCTGTTATTGTTAGAAAACAATGAAAAAGTCTCTCAATAATTCTTGTCCAGATGTGTAAAGGCTAGGTCTGTTGCATGTATCCATGAGTTGTATGAGCCGGTTAGTTTTCTTTTCTTCTTTTTTTTTTTTTTTAATTTAT